TGTCCCGTGATCTCGGCCAACCCGGCGCCGACGTTCGCGTGGGAGCACGACGGCCTTCCGGTGGTGAGCGGCCGGGGGCGCCGGCGGCTGGGCCACCGCACCCTGCTGCTGGCGGCCGTCCGGCGCCGCGACGGCGGCCTCTACCGCTGCACCGCCCGCAACGCGGCCGGCAGCAAAAGCCTCACGACGCAGGTTGATGTGCAGTGTGAGTGGCGCTGGCGGATGACTCCGCGATCCGTGCCGTTATTTGGAGCGCGTCTCTCTCTGCCTGTGAAATGCCGGCTTCAGATTTTTGCTCTGCACTCGTGCGCCTGTAGGCGCGATGTGGCCGCAATGCGTTGAGACGCGTCTGTTCAGACGCCCCCCTCCCCCCGTGCACCGCAGTTTCTCCGGACATTGCATCTCCGGACGAGCCGGCACTGGAGGTGACCGAGAACGCCACCGTCTTCCTGGCGTGTGACGTCAGCGCCGAGCCCGTGCCCCGCGTCCTCTGGGTTAAGCACGGCCAGTTGATTGTGCCTCTGGACAGCAGGTCAGCGGTAGAGTGTGGGGCTGCGTCGATACAGAATCAGACAGAGCAGTGAGGCGTGTACTCGCTGCGACCAATGCGTGCTTGGGTAGGTCAATCCCTTGATCTTCATCTGGACGCATGGTTGAGACGCCAATAAAATCAACAGATAAGTACTTCAGGGCATTTAATCTAGTACTCTTCTATGTGTATCTTTAAACGCACACGCGTATATCCGAGACTGCGAACATCCAGTGAGCATGCCATCCATAGATCGCACGCCGCTTTCGTCTCCGCCCCCCCCCCCCCCCCTCCCCCCTGACTCCCGTCCCGGCGCCCAGACTGTGGGTGCACGCCAACAACACGCTGCAGATCAGCTCCGTGACCGAGGACGACACGGGCGTATACACGTGCCACGTGAACAACACGCGCGGCACGGCCAGCGCTCGCCGCGCGCTCGTGGTGCACGCGCCGCCGCGCATCGTCAGCATTGAGGCGGACGTGGGGCCTGCGGTGGAGTACGAGCTGGAGCGGCCGCCGCCGCGGCTTGAGCGGCGCGAGCTGGACCGGAATGGGGGCAGCGTCGCTACAGGTGGGTGGGGTCCGGCTGGTCGGGCGGCCAGGATGTGGTCCGATGTAACCGAGGGGTGGTCATAGAGTCCGTTCTTGACTTTTGGGCGACACTTTGAAAGTACAATCCGGGGTTGTAGCGGTGGATGGAAAAGATACGTCCAAGGTGCCGTTTTCCCCAGCCCTGGGCTGTTCTCGGTAGCTCAGGATGGTTAATGATCTGGACTAATTGTATCAGCTCATGGCAGTTGTTGACATTTTTAACGGGTTTCGGAAATTTCTGCGAGCGTAAACAACATTGTTAGTGATATTCAAAGGATAGTTGAGTAAAGAGCAAGTAAGAGAGACCAGAGGAAGAGGATCTGCTAACTCACCTGATCACACTGTGTATACTTGTCGCAGATGAAGCCAACCCCGCCCTAACGTCAATGAGGGGTGACCAATCACCATTCTCTGTGACCTGCGACCCGATGACATAGCCCGTGTGACCTGGGAGAGGTCCGGCGCACAAGTCAGCGCCACCCAGTTGGTGATGGCGGCATCAGGTCAGTGACGGGTTGACAAGGTGGTCATGGCGTATGTAGAGCTGCAGATCCGAAGATTCTCAGCTTGCCTGCCGAAAAGTGGGACCTCAATGATGTCGATTCCCTAAAAATAATTATGCCCCTCTTATCCCATTATGTACCCTTATATACCCTTGCATACCCTCTATACCCTCGATGGGTGCTTATCGTACCCTTCCCCGTACCAAATTAGCGATTCGTTAGTCGATAGTGGACCTTTCATGCAGCCCTTTGCTGCACATTTTTGCAGTAGTTCGCTTAAGTTTTTGCTGGTGCGTGCAGTTTGTAGACAGACGAACGCATTGAGCGTAAAGAACGTTCTATATGATACCATCTAAAACACCTCTCCACCTGCTTGTCGGAGAATCCCAGCAGCGATGCAGCATGTATTGTCTAACCGTCCGCTGCCGTCAGCAGCATGTATTGTCTAACCGTCCGCTGCCGTCAGGTTTACGGCCTCTGAGGCCGATGAGGGAACCTACGAATGTAAAGCCAGCAATACGTACGGCAAGACGACAGCGCCCCTCAGTCTCAAAGTCAGACGTGAGTTACGACAGGCTCATAACCAACCTCACCATGATATGCTAAGACGACCTGAACGGTTGCCCTCCCCCCCTCCCCCCGCTCCCACGCGCCATTCTGGTAACGGGATCCATCCGCTGCGGGATCTGGCAACAAGCATCTATGTCGACGTCAACAGCAGTCCCGTGATTTCCGTGTCGTGCACATTGAATTCAACCGTATATGTACGACTGCTGAACAGTACCGCAATGCCAAGCGCTTAGAATGGGACAAAATTTCACGAACTTCGACACTGGATCACGGACAGACTCCTGACGTTTCCGCATGTGCATCCAGCGCATGTCCCAGTATTTCCTGTTCGGTCTCTGCTATCGAAGTCTCTCACCTTCTTCGGAACGTCGCCTGGACAGATCGCCCGAAGTCTTCGGCACAAATGTTCAACGCGAGCGCTGTGGTCGGAGATGACATGACCCTGACCTGCGTGGTGCGGGGGCCCGACCGAAGCCGCGCGTCACGTGGTTCCGACACGGCCGCCAGATTGACGATGACACGGAGAAGTACAGGTTGAGGCAGTTAGTGGGCTGAGTGGGACCGGCTTAGATGACTTCACCGGACGTCACAGAGAGCCAATACAGGACGCCGGTGGTGCAAACGTCATATTATTATGAACTCCGTGCAGCTGATGATTTGTGACAGAGTCGAACAAGACACAGTTCCAGCCCCAGAGGCCGTTCCGTCGCCGCAGTGACCAACTGCGTTTATTCCTGATGCCTCACCTGACAGCGAGCTGTCACCTTGTTCCAGTCGAACCAGTGGTCATTCGCTGACCGTGCTGGACGTACAGCCGACCGACGCCGGCCTCTACAGCTGCGTGGCAAACAACTCCATCGGTAGTCTCACCAAGCTGACCACGTCACCGTGCTCGGTGAGACGCCCTGCAGCATCCGCAGCCACGCGTTTGAAGGCCGGCTTATATGCCCGACGCCGAACACAATGTGTGTTGCGGCGAATGCTGTTGATAATTTTATCGGAATGCAGTTCTGTAAGTCTCCGTGATTGGGCTGGGTCTGTCCATTTTGTCATTTTAATTGCGCAATGTGTTTTTTCGTAAGTGCAGGTGGGACCAGTATCGCTTACCTATCTGCCACGGAACATAAAACTACTATATTCTAGTGTCTGACTGAGCTTCATACTGGGAAATAACAGCCCTGGTGAATTATCAGTCTGAAATGCCTTAATTTAGCTGATCTATCACTGAACTGAACACCAATCAGATGGTGTGCTGTTATTGGGAATTAAGTTCCGAGCCACTAACATCACATTTTTATTGAGTACGATGGGACGCGGTAATTCATGGGAACTTTGATGCACTAATCGCCACAGGCATGTCATAAGTGTAAACAAATTCATTAAGTCTTGCATAGATACAGGGCAAACGCTGTATGTCTACACCAGCTACCCTGCCCATTACTGAGTCTAGCCACGTCGCGCCCCTGACCGCATCGTCAGCTGACAGCACCAACGCACTTGCAGTTCCTCCGAGGATTCAGCTTCTGACTTGCCGCGGAAGGTGGCGGTGCGAGACGGCCAGCCGCTCCGCCTGGGGTACGACCGTCGCCGGCACCCCGCCTCCGGAGACGCGCTGGCTCAAGGACGGGCAGCCGCTGCCGCCCCAGCTCAGGTGCGTCCCGGGCAGGCCGCCAGTCCGGCTGTGGTCGGCGGCGCAGTACGCTCACGGTCTTGAATTATCACGTGTCGTACCGGGGCGTCGGGGGGTAGCAGTGGGCCAGCCGCTGCTGGGACAGTTTACTAGAGTAAAAACCGCGGCCATTCGTGGGCCTTTTGTTTCAGCTTAAAGACACTGTGCTGCCCTCTGCCTCTGGTCCATCATCAGCCACGCTCGTGGGCGTCTGGACCGGCCTGGCTGGTGGCCAGTTAACACGACGGTGACATGGTCGCTCGCTGTCGGCAGGGGCGGTTCCGAGCAGCCCGGACAGCTATTCATTCCGAGCGCCACACCCGAGGATTCTGGAAAGTACTCCCTGGTAGCCTCAAGTGTGGCCGGAGAGACCCGTCACTCATTCCAGGTCAAGGTCGTGTGTAAGTTACGTGATCTGTCTTATGGCCACATATGGCAAAGGCGCCACTCCCAGTCTTACGCCAATAACCCATGGTGTCCCATGCAAACGCTTCTCGCCTAAATGCGCGGCACAGTGCGACAAAGTGCGGTTCAAGCGTCATGTGCGGACCTCTTCGCCGTCTGTATTCGTAGGATGGACATTCATACCAGGCAGAGTGGGAGGTTCAGAAAACCATCAGGCCGCCAGAGCAGATTACCTGAAGCAGGGAGGTATCTACAGTTTTGTAGTGGCTGCATAAAACTTTTGGACATATAGATTTACGCAGTAATTGAATTTAAATATCGATATTATGCATGACGTAGTTGTTCAGACCATAGTTCTTTCCTGGTGTGTTCAATGTGCACTGTGTATCATGGGCGTGGCTCCTCAAAATGAATTGGGGGCTGATCGTTAAAAAATGACGCATCCTACGTGGAATACGCCAAAAGGGGATTTCCTCCCGGATTTGGTCCACTGTCTTGCCAACGCTGAGGAGGCGGGGGAAGGTGAAGTTAGGAGGGCTGACCCCCCCTAAGCTAACTGGAGAACTACATCCCTGCCGTATGCATGCTAACACACCACACGAGGGCGATAGCATGAAAAATAATCATATCTACTGATTCTGAATGAATGATGTCTCACATCAAAAGAGACAAAACAAACATCGTGGCCCAAGCTCCCTTACGAGAGGGGGGGGGGGGGGGAGGGAGCTTAATAGCAGTTACGAGCTGACCGGCAGATGTGATCCTGGAACATCTTGTTTGATATCTCACCTGTCCTGACGACGCGGAGGGACATTCACGTATCCAGCAACTCCTCATGTAATCGAAACCGACCGTGCGATGTTTGCTGGCAGCCCTCGTCGTCAGCGACGAAGGCTGGCAGGACCAGGTGGATGTCATTGACGGCAAGGAGTTCGGCATGAAGTGCCCAGTCACCGGAGACGTCACAGGCATCAAGTGGTACAAGGTTTGTCAACGTGTTCAGGGCGTGTCAGAGCGTGGGAATGTCACAACTAGTTGGAGCTCGTCAGTCAAGTCTTATGTTATGTGATGAATGTTTTCCTCACGGAGATATCGTGGGCACTTGTTCAGCGTCTGTATAGTGCAAGATATAACACATTTTACAATTTATTAATGGTTACAAAACACAACTCTTTACAGTGCACTATGTGTGAACTTCAGCCAAACGATATGCAGCAACACAAAGCACAAAATGTGATAAAAGCCCTGGTAATTCCCCTTTCTTCAGACAGTATTAAAAACCTTCCTATGTATCGTTACGGCCAGAGCTTAAACGCAATTTACAGCCGGATGCTATCTGTCTTCGGATTCCTACCTTTTCGTAAATATGACATGAGTCTGCCGAATGTTTCGACTAAAGAACACAAGTGCAGTTAAAGGGAGTGCTCCACATTTGAGCACATTGAAGCAAGCATCATATATGATGAAATAAGCTCACATAATTATTGTTATACTTTCGAGCGGAAAAGGCTGCTGTAGACAACACAGTTTTTATGTTTAGTAAATAGGCTCATCCATACGTCATTCCCGATTACGTCATTATATCTTGCACAACAATGTTTGAGAGCCAACTAACGGCCGTTATATCTGTAAAGCGTTTTACACGAATGCCAGATATGAACCACTCGACAATTACATTTTTCTCCGCCTTGATCGCCGCATGGTCTATGGAATGGCAGGATTTGAGTGACGTCATTATGGCACCATGGATGCTTTGGTGACCTTAACATAGTCTTCCCGAAAAAGACTAGACATCTTCGAGAGCGTGTAGCTCAGAAATTAGAAGGGCTTTGGTATCAAGTAAGGCAGTCCTGTGAACTGCATCGCAGTACCCTCAAGATGACTAGGTCAGTTCAAACCCGAATACAGATGTGGAACACTCTCTTTAATTGCGGAACACCTACACCATAAAACAGTTCTTCTCTGCCATGCACAATGCCACCCAGTTTTTTCGGACCGCCAGCCAGCCGGGCCCGACCGTCACTCACCGTTCGGTGATACCGGCCTTTTGGACTGGTGGATGACTTATTTTCTTCACTGTTAGACTAAAGTGTCTTATTTGTTCGATGTCTGCAAATGTTTGCTATTTCTAAAGAAGATCAACTCAGCGATCGCCATTGAGTTGATATTGCGTCCTGCTGCTCACCATGATGTGATAGGTAGGCTGTGCCGCCGGGCACGCAGTGGCAGGCTGCACCGCTGAACATGACGGGGCAGGCCCGCATTACCCCTGAGTTTGCCTTGACAATTGGCGGGAGTTACTTGCCGCCAAACATGCCATGATAGGCTGCGCTGCCGGGAACGTCGCGATGGGTTGTACGGTTTGGCATGCCGTGGTAGGTAGGCTGTGCCGCTGAGCATACCATGACATGCCACACCCAACGCCTGGCACGACGCGATAGCCTGGAGCTGCACAACCGGACACGACTCGACAGAAAGGATGCGCCATTGGGCAGAGATGCATATTTCAGATTCAATAAGGCCTCCAACCCAACCCAAGCACCTACTTTGCCATCAGCCCTTCCAACTTTAGACGGAAAGCGGGTTAAATCGTGAAGAAACTGGACTTCGCTGGAATATTCTGGAAATCTTGGTCATTTTTAGCTGGCTCGGCCGCCTCATTTTGCGGCACGCCGTCCGTGCCAACGGGTATGCCGCTGTAAGCTGCGCCACTGAGCAGGTCCTGGTGGGCTGCATTGCAGGACATGTCGTGATTGGTTGGATGTTCCGCGGCGAGCTGTCAAAGCCGCAGACCTTCGATATTAACCATCGCCTGTGCCTGTTGCGTTGCCCTGAGTGCTGCAGGACATATATACTGGTAAAGCGTTTGCTTGTGTCAAAACTAAGATGCCATGGTTAATTATTTATAGCGGTACCAACCCTTGTAGCTCAAACTTGCAATCTTCATTTCGCCATGTCATTTACTTGGAGGTGTCGTAGCTCTCACCCATGTCACGCCAGGGGGGAAAGAGGCGATCACCCTTTGAGGAGTTGGGGTCCATGGTCCCCGTTCAGACTCCCGAATGGCGTCCGATTTTGTTCATGCATGCATTTTGACAAACTGAGATGCGGAAGTGATGAGTGGTCCCTTTACGGAGCTTTCAGGAGCATTTGGGGCCCCTGGATCGGCAAAAAGGCCCTTTCTGGTGTAAGATGGCGCCTCTGGTATGCAATGGGATGGGATGGGATGAACATGGGATGGAGAGTGAGCTAAATCCAATTGGAGGGTATCGTGGGAAGCGGGTGGGGGGGGGGGGGGGAGGGAAGGGGGCATAAGCGAAACCGTGAACGGAGATCCCCTTGGTCAAAATTTTGTTGACGTGCCTGGCTTTCATAACTGATAAATGGCACACCTGCCGGGTTTGAGATGGAATGGGAACATGTGCTATGTTCCGCAGTATTTATGTAGTATGTACGCAGCATATGTGCGCGACACTTCCCGTCCATTGCGTCCCCGGTGCTGCTGGGTGTGTTGCCTGCACCAAGTGTGAAGGTTCGACAAGTCAGCTGTTGTCTTGTCAGAAACTCCCCCTGCAACGTGGAAAGCTATATTGCAAATAATTGTTGGAAATGCTAGATTGACATCTCACTTGCTGAGATCGAAGAGAATCTGGTGATGGAGTGGTGTTCACACCGATTGACTTCGCATCACGGTGTTCGTTTTACTATGCGAGACGGTGAAGGCGACAGTGCCTGCCCGAGGCACTCGCCGTCCAACCGGGGCTCCGGACCGTGAGGCCGACGCCGCACGCCTCTGCGCCCAGGACGGAAAGAGCATCGCCGAGGTGTTCACCTTCACCCGCTCTGATCAGACGCACGTGGTATTCGGCGACGGCGGCCGCAGTCTGCGCATACCGGAGGTGGTCGCGGAGGACTCGGGTGAGTTGTTTCGCTCGCGCTGGCTGCTCCTGGCGCCTCGCTCACAGCCGGTGCAAGCGTCTGAGCAAACACGGCCAGCTCCCGAGAGATTATCTGCATCTTACAGACTGCTGCGTCTGTGTAGTTTGCGTCATAACCAGATCCGATGAGAACCATCGGGTGGCATTTTTAAGCATGCCAGTCAAGCACGTCACTCCCTACACAGACTGCTGCGTCTGTGTACTTTGCGCTATAACCAGATGAATCCGATGAGAACCATCGCGCGGTATTTTTAGGCATGCCAGTCAAGCACGTTACTCCCCGACAGCGTTCATCGGCTGCTCGCAGTCTACAGGCCGTGATCGGCCGTCCGACGCTCAGCTACTGGCTGGGCAGTCTCTCACGTAGGTGTGCCACGCTCTGCCACCCCCCCCCCCTTCCAGGTCAGTACACGTGCGAGGCCGAGACAGAGGCGGGCAGCGTGAAGTTCAGCACCAAGTTGAATGTGCTGGTGCCGCCGCGGTTCGGCGATCCGTTCCACGAGCCACGTGAAAGCGTGCTGACCGAGCATGAGCAGCTGCAGCTCGACTGTCAGGTGGACGGCTACCCCGCGCCGCAGGTCAGGCCCGACACGGCTCATAGGTGGCTCCCCCCCCCTTCCCCCCAGGTCGGGTTTCTAAGTTCCAGCGGCCATTATTCCGGATATGTCCTTATTATACCCTAGTTGTAACTGTTCAACGCCTGGAGATCACTTGGAGCGAAATCTGAGTCTGCAAACTGCCTGTGAGCAGTGCGCAAGTATCTGGACTTTGGCTCAGAAAACGCAACGAATTACTTTCGCCGAAAGTCATAGCTGTATTGGTGCGGAGCGTTGCTGCCTCACCACAGACAGGAGGCCGTAATTATGTAAAGATCTGCGTCAGTTTGTAGCTTCTTTCCCTCCCAACTGCCCAACTCCAGACTTATATGATAGCTTGCCAATGCTCACGGAACCTTATCTCAAGTTACGCTTGGGCAGAAGCGTATCTGCGCAGCCGTGTTTCCTTGCCATGACGTGCGGCTGCCAACGATGTCCTGCCTTCAGGTCCGCTGGTTCAAGGACGGCCTGCCCATCCCGGAGGACAGCGTGAGGCAGGTGATGGTGTCGGCAGATGGGGAGAAGCTCACACTGCGCGGACAGCTCGGCGTTGCAGGTGGGCGGCCCAGCCCCGGCAGGCCAGCTGGCTTGGTACATTGGCAGCTCGCCAGCTTGAAACCCGCCACGAACTTGGGCGTGATGAACCCAGCTTGACATGTTAGAACCCGTCCAACTCCAATTTGACGTGCCGTGTTACCGTGCGAGAGCTTTGTCCACTGTTACCGCCTCGCCGACGCGCTGCAGCGGTGTCACCCCGTCCGCAGGCGACTACAGCTGTGAGGTGGTGAACAGCGCAGGCACCGCGCGTCGTCAGTTCCCGGTGCGCGTGAAGGTGGCGCCGCGGCCGGCCGGGCCCGACCCGCAGCGGGTTACCGTCTTCCGCGGCGACACGGTCACTCTCAACTGCTCGGTGGTGGGCGCGCCGCCGCCCCGAAACGTCTGGAACAAGGACGGCCGCCAGGTGGTCGGGTTCGTGACGTCACACGCTGCCGGCTGCGGCTGGAGGGCCTGTGGTCCGGACGGAGACGGCTCGGAGGGGCGGAGCGGAGCCGGGATCAGGGCTAATGACAGCGTTCGGTAGATGTGAATGCACCGAAACAAGTACCGTCAAAAAGCAGCAGAGTGTGGTGTAACACGCAATGGGCATGACATTTGGTGTTGCGATCGGTGCACGCGCAATGTGCCAATACCAGTGCAAGGGACGTCTTAAGGTCAGGCTCTCTGACCCTGTGTTGCAGTGTATCCTGGGCGGATCCGGAGTTCGCGTACTACCCTCTGCTCGGCGAGCTGTCGGACCGCCTGCTGGTCAGCTCGGCCCGCCTCTCCGACGCAGGCCAGTTCGAGTGTATCGGCAAGAACCGGCTGGGGGAGGCCAGGCGACGCATCCAACTCATTGTGAATGGTGCGTCCCTCTGTCAGACGACAGCTTAATGTGGTCTTTTTCAGAATCGTTCGTGTCCATCGCACGTGTTAACGATTTATCAACCAATACTCAGGTTCTTTGGAAGGTTCCTTAAGCCGATCCGTGGCTCGTTGCAAACGTAGGACAGTACTCTATCGATGTCATCTTTGACTTGCCCGTTGCTAATCTGCTTTTGAGCGACGTCATAAAGCATTACACGCCAGCGGTTAGCAGCCGGATAGCGCTACGGTCAGCCCCGGCCTAGGCAGCCAATAAGTCCCCTGACTAGCGACGCTGCTGTCGGCAGGTGTTCCCGTGATAGATGGTGCTGGGGAGGAGGTGCGCCGACTGCCGGTGATACCGGGGGATTCGATCACCCTCTCCTGTCCCGTGCAGTCGTACCCGCTGGCCACAGTCACCTGGACCAAGGATGGTACGTGGCGGCCCGCCAGAGTCGCCTGGAATCATGATGGCCGTCGTGCGGTATCTTGACCAATGATGGTGTGTTGGTGCGTGTGTTAACTGAGGCCAAAGTTTACGTGGAAGGCGCCCTGTCCTGCCGGCCCAAGAGTTGTATGTGGTGGATGTCTCCTGTTGCTCGAAACCGCCGTGGCACGTCATGGGTGCAGCTGGACGAAATGGGCTCGAATCGCTTGTATATTAATGACCCGATGGTATCGCATTAGACTTCGGATTCCGAGGCCAGGGTTCATATCCGCAGCAGTTCGTAACAGTGCACTGCCACTATCTCGACAGGCAGTGTGAAATATTACGGCACTAGTACTCTCTGGAGTTGGAATTGACGAAAAATCATATAGGACAAAGTATACGGCACACTTAAGAGCCTCCCCGATTTGCCGTAGTATTGGCTCCAAATCTCACCGAGCTCTATTTTGTCCTTCGGGTAAGTTTATCGCCGTCACAAAATATCGCCGACCTATCTCTCGACTGTCATGTTCATTTGTGCTTTCCTGTACTGCAAACTTATTGAACGCTGCCGTGTCTTCCGATTCATCGTATCTCACCTCCCGAATGTGTCCAAACTCCTGTCAACCGTGAGCATCTACATCGAGAGCTCTCACCCTCTGACACGCTGCTCCCCCCCCCCCCCCCCTCCTCAGGCGAAGTCGTCAAGGTCATCACCCCACCGGAGCTGGACGACGGCGTTTCTGGCAGCGGCTCAGACGAGCTGCCGTTCGACGTGCCTGCAGCCACGCGGCGGCGGCGGCGGCGGCGGCGGGACATCGAGGTGCCCGACCTGTCCACCTTGCTCGGGGCCGAGGAGGCGGCGGCCGGCGGCAGGACGGCGGGTGATCCGGCACCACCGACCGACCGCTTCAGCCCCGGCGACACGAGTTTGACGCTGAGTTCGGTCCGGCCCGATGACGACGGCCTGTACACCTGCACGGCCTCCAACGAGCATGGCCGTGCCGCCATCCAGGCCAGCGTCCAGGTGCTCGGTGAGCTCTGGGGCGGGGGGGGGGAGGGGGCGCAAGCGCTCGGAGTATTTACTTAAGAGAGGACTCGTTCCGAACTCACATGGTTAATGACAGAGCTGGGTTTCATATTTTTAACTCGGTCAACTCAGAACTCAAGAATTAATGCGGGTCTAGCCATCTTAATACATCGCCGTTGCTTTCAAACAGCGGGACGTCGCTGTGTGCGGGCCTTGTGGTCCGCCTCAAGGCCGCTACCGTGACCGGTACGAGGTCCGTGTAGACGGGTGAATGCTGATGCCTCGCTCCGTCGCAGAGGCGCCGACCATCCTGGAGAGTCCCTCGGAGCGGCGCGTGGTTCTGCACGACTCCGCCGCACTGACGTGTGAGGCAATCGGCACCCCTCCGCCGGTCGTCTCCTGGTTCAAGGTACGGCACTCGGCAAGTGGCCGAGTATGACGGCCGTATGGCACGCACGCTGAGTAGACCTCGTGAAGCAGTCGTTACCAGGAAGACATTCTGTTATTCTCACGCATGTTTCGTCGTCTAGTTCAGCTGCTTTGCTTTTGTGCATCCTCTTTGGTGTGCTCGGAATTTTGTTTTCGAGTTGAGTTGCATCTGTACGTTCCGAGCATTCGTGATTTACGCCGTTGTTGCTGGTTTACCTCCCCCCCCCCTCCCCTTGTCCCTAAAACAGCTTTCAAGGTTCTGATAACCACAGACATCAAACATCCCCGGCGTCTGCCCTCCACTGCGCGCGCCCTGATGCCATCTGAACTCGTAGCTCCGGTGTTAAAAGATCCGGCTGTCCTCAGAACAGCGAACCCGTCTCAAGCTCCCGATCCCTCCCAGGACGGAGAGACCGTCTCTGAGCTCTCAGTCCCTCCCCAGGACGGAAAGACCGTCTTTGAGCTCTCAGTCCCTCCCCAGGACGCAGAGACCGTCTCTGAGCTCTCAGTCCCTCCCCAGGACGCAGAGACCGTCTCTGAGCTCTCAGTCCCTCCCCAGGACGGAGAGACCGTCTCTGAGCTCTCAGTCCCTCCCCAGGACGGGGAGACCGTCTCTGAGCTCTCAGTCCCTCCCCAGGACGGAGAGACCGTCTCTGAGGTCTCAGTCCCTCCCCAGGACGGAAAGACCGTCTCTGAGCTCTCAGTCCCTCCCCAGGACGGAGAGACCGTCTCTGAGCTCTCAGTCCCTCCCCAGGACGGAGAGACCGTCTCTGAGGTCTCAGTCCCTCCCCAGGACGGAAAGACCGTCTTTGAGCTCTCAGTCCCTCCCCAGGACTGAAAGACCGTCTCTGAGCTCTCAGTCCCCCCCCCCCCAGGACTGAAAGACCGTCTCTGAGCTCTCAGTCCCTCCCCAGGACGGAGAGACCGTCTCTGAGCTCTCAGTCCCTCCCCAGGACGGAAAGACCGTCTCTGAGCTCTCAGTCCCTCCCCAGGACGGAGAGACCGTCTCTGAGCTCTCAGTCCCTCCCCAGGACGGAAAGACCGTCTCTGAGCTCCCGATCCCTCCCCAGGACGGCGAGCCTATCTCTGAGCTTTCGATCCCGCATCTGTACGAGTCCGCCGATGGTTTGGAGGTGCTGGTCCAGCTGGCCTCCCCCGAGATGGCTGGCACCTACACCTGCGAGGCGCTCAACGCCGCCGGAAAGGCGTCGCGGGACACTCTGCTCACCGTCGTAGGTCAGTACTTTGGTGCTACAGGAGCGCGCAAACGAATGCCACTGGTCAGCGGCTGGTGTTCCAGGAGCAAAGTCACTTGAATATCTGCGATGTCGAGCCAACACTCCTTGATCCCAAAAATCCATTCATTAAAAGAGTTCGAATGGAATATTTAAAAAGCATACCAGTGATCGAATCTCTGCTCTCCCTGGTTGGCCGGCCGTCTGTGACGGGCGTATCCCGCGGCTGCTCGGCCAGTTCCTGACGCTCCCCACTCGCAGAGCCGCCCGAGATCGTGGTACCGGACTCCACGGACCTGTCGGTGGTCGAGTCGGACGGCCAGACTCTCACCTGCCAGCTGGCCACCGCTCGGCCGGCCGGTGTCAGCTGGATGCACAACGGCCGCCCGCTGGGCCAGCTGCCGCACCGGCTCCGTGACCAGAACCGCACACTGGTGAGGCGGAGGGGTAGAGCGGGGGGGGGGACGGCTGTGACACCGTAGAACGTGAGGGGATGCTCGTCAGGAGCGGGGTGGCAGGGGCTGGGCGACTGCCTGCCATAGAGTGTGGGGATGAAACAATGATTTTTGGCCCAGTTTTACCGTGCAACGTCACAAGCCTAATGTAAAGTTTGGCCAAAGCTGGGAGGCTACTACTACATCCCGTTCTCTTGTTGTATGCTACTAAGATGAGGAGACACAGGTATGAAAGCCCGCCGCTCCTATGGCTGGCAGAGCAGGACACGCACTCTGCCGCATCAGTTCGTGATACTGAGCTCGGCGACATGGGAAATCGGATTACCAAATCGGATTGTTAGGACGTTGCATGCGATTGGCCATTGGGCTTGATCCGGTTATCTGTCTGTCACTGGTTATTCATTTGGCGCACTATTGATTTCGCTTCCTATCGATCATTGGATACCATCTTCAGAACATTTTTCTATTAACGACCTCGTTCGCCGTCTGGTCTAATTCCTTGTGTACACTGTCTAGCGGGGTACACGAGGTGTGAGGTGTGAGGTGATGCGCTGTGGTATGGTATCATTTACGATAGAGTTATTAAACTAGATGTCTATGATGTGATAAACTAGATGTCTATGATGTTTTCAGAGCGGGAAACATGGCAACTTGGTTGTTCATGAATTACATGCTGGTGCCTGTAATTGTACTAGCGTGATTTTCGCCGAAACAAGTGAGTTACCAAGAGCAGATTCAAATGAGCATGCCCGACGCTGCAGTGTTCGTGCCGTGCTATCACTAGGTCCTCGGCTGAGGAGACGCCGCCTGTTTCAGCTGATTCCCTCCATGAAGCGGGAGGACGCCGGCCAGTTCACCTGTCTGGCGTCGAACGAAGCCGGGCAGGACGAGCTGACCTACTCGGTGGAGGTGCTCGGTGAGTGGCGCGCGTGAGTGACACAATGGCTGCGTCCCCAGCCGGGAACGCCAACATTCTCGTTCATGAAGGGTTGGAATGCTTGAGGAAATCTTCTGGAGTCAAAGCCATCTTATTTTCAGAAGGATGTTACGTACTTAACGTACTTACTTTCAAGAATGTGAGTGCCTGCAGCGTATAGTTGTGGTGATTTATGGATGTAGTTAGGACCAGTTTAGGTGGTAGGACTGGTTTAAACGAACTGTCTTTTATGATGACCGCTCGAAACTGGAACATCTACAGAAACGTCTCAGCATCGGTGCTTCTTTCAGTGCCACCGTACTTTGATGACGATGTGGCTGAGTACGAGGAGAAGGTGCATCGGTCCATAGTGCTGCGGTGCCCTGTCGTGGCCATTCCCCATCCCGACATCACGTGGTATAAGGTGCGTTCTATCCGCTGCAAGTCCAAACTGAACTATGCAACGTTACAGTATATACCAATTTTGCAATATTTCTGAGTTACACTGTGTTGTACATAGGTGATATTTATTTCTGAATGGCATATTTTGGCATTTCCTAGTTTGCCTGTCCGTTATAAGACCGTACCCTGATGTAATGTTTTGGTGCACAATAAAATTCTTACGCGATGAGAAGTGCAGCGGTGGACCAAGTCGACGTCTTTATGGACCAAACCTGTCGCTACGAAGCGCGTATTTCATAACCGAACGTCTTCGCTGAGGGGTCCACGTTTAGCTCAGCGATGTGCCACGCCCCCCATTCCTTGAGTGAGTAGTGACGCGGCGGGAGCCCGTGCCCACGAACGTGCCGTCCCACGCCTGGCAGGGGGAGGAGCCGGTGCCGGCGACGTCTGGCTGGACCGTGTCGGCGCACGGTCACCTCCTGCGGATCGCCAGCTTGCGGCCAGAGCACGCCGGCGACTACACCTGCCATGCCCGCAACGTGCTGGCCGAGGCGAGCTGGACCGTCTCCCTGGCCGTGCTCGGTGCGTAGCCTGGTGACTGGTGCGGCGCGTGTGGTGCGGCCTCTGTGTCGCTGCCTCCCCCCGCGGGCTTATCTCGACATGGCGTGTTGCCTGCCGTGCCTGCGTATCTGATTCGACACCTGGCATGAGCTGTGAAGCTATTTGTCGATTCCAGTCGCGTGCTGCGAACTTTTTTTTCTGATTCGTGAGCGTCTCACACATCTGCCTGCATCCAAGCGCTTATTTCAGACTGAATATAGTTAGCTGAAAGGACGCCCGACTGAAAGCCTGCTGACAGTTGTTTCCTGCCGGCGACAGAGCCGCCGTCCATCTCTCCGCCGCTGCCGTCGCTGCTGCTGACCCCCGGCGAGCCCCTGGAGGTGCCGTGCGTTGCCACTGGCCAGCCACCGCCCCGCATCAGCTGGTACAGCGACAGGCCCGAGCTGTCGTCGGACGGCTCCCTGGTGGATGAGGGGGGCACCCTGCGCGCCGCCGCCGCCCGGACCGAGCACAGTGGCCTCTACACGTGCTTGGCCTGGAATGGCGTCGGCCTGGACCGCGCCCAGGTGTTCGTCGCTGTCATCGGTGAGAGGGAGATCGGCTGCTCCATGCTGCGTACCGGGGTTAGAAGAGGTGGGAGGAGGCGTACACGCCCTGCGCGGTGATGGGCGCTGCCTACGTGTTCGTACAGGTCTTCCACTTTGCGCCGTTGCTTTCGGAGGTTTTTGCGTTGAGATCATCAAAGTGTCTGAAGAGCGATATCTAGCTGTAAAGATGGGAATGTCTCTTTCGCGTGCCTGGTGGATACAAGCATGGTTGTGTGTACATCATAATAATGCTGGTGTCGGCGTCCGAAACCGTTAGCATTCACATGAACGCATCACATACAACGCCTATTTCCACTATCGGTTTCACTGCATTTGAGCCGCGATGTCGACATATCAGCTGACGTGGCAGCTAATGATGCAATCTGGCGAGGGTTGCTGAGCTCAGGGTCATGCTGATGGTACCAGTCATGTCCGGTGCTTGTACTGACCGGTGCCGAGCTCAGAGTCGTGCTGATGGTACCAGTCATGTCCGGTGCTTGTACTGACCGGCGCCGAGCTCACAGTCGTGTTGATGGAACCAGTCATGTCCGGTGCTTGTGCTGACCGGCGCCGAGCTCACAGTCGTGTTGATGGTACCGGTCATGTCCGGTGTTTGTACTGACCGGTGCCGAGCTCACAGTCGTGTTGATGGAACCAGTCATGTCCGGTGCTTGTACTGACCGGTGCCGAGCTCAGGGTCGCGTTGATGGTACCAGTCATGTCCGGTGCTTGCATTGACCGGTGCCGAGCTCAGAGTCATGCTGATGGTACCAGTCATGTCCGGTGTTTGTACTGACCGGTGCCAAGCTCAGAGTTATGCTGATGGTAGCAGTCATGTCCGGTGCTTGTACTGACCGGTGCCGAGCTCACAGTCGTGTTAATGGTACCAGTCATGTCCGGTGTTGGTACTGACCGGTACCGAGCTCACAGTCGTGTTGATGGTACCAGTCATGTCCGGTGTTTGTACCGACCGGTGACGAGCTTGAGGTCCGGACTCCGCAGTTGATCTGTCTCTACCCCCGCCCCGGACAGCGCCCCCCACACTGGACCCAGCCGACCGGGAGCGGACCGTGCTGGAGCACGAGGCCACAGCGATCCGGTGTCCGTTGGACCGTCTGGACCTGGACTCAGATGTCGTCTGGTTCCGGGTACGCCGCTCTGCAGTTTCAGACGGGCATTGCGGCGATTCTGCTGTAAAATTTGAACGCGGCTCTCTGCTGCTGCGTTCTTTGGGCAAGAAAGGCGTTAAAGTTTCAAAAGCATATTTTTATAGTGTTTGGGTTTAAATGCAAAAGTTGCGCACCGGTTCTGCTGTAACATCAGAGTAATGCTTGCATACCGTCCCGCGTGACGAAGCTACCGAACCGAAATTATAGTCTTTTGAAGCGGTGCAGGCGGCCCAAAGTCATCCTAAAACCAATAACTGCCATGCGTAAGCAACGCCCGTCACTTGCCCCCCACCTCACACCTGTGCCGGCGACGACAGGACGGGATCGAACTGTGGGGCAACACGTCATCGCTGATCATCTCCGCCGACGATCGGACCCTCTTGCTGCCGGCCGTCCAGCTCGCTGACGCCGCCGCGTACATGTGTCGGGCCGAAAATGAGATCGGCCGCGCTCGCCACGAGGTCCTCCTGCGCGTGCTGGTGCCGCCCCGGCTCAAGGTGAGTGACGATGGGTGAGTGACGAGAGGCCACCGAGGATGCCATGTAGTGGGAGGATGGTGCGCAAACACATAGAGAAGACTGCTTGTCTGGGGGACACCAAAAATAACTATCGTGCGACAAGAATTCAAAAGTTGAAAACAACTAAAATTCAGGCACGCGAGCTGCAAACCCCAGAATTTCAGAACGAATGTGATGTTAAGTTGCCGCAGATGCCACGCGTCGAAATGTACAATATATAACAGCGTCGAAAATTCCAAACAGTCGCTAAGTGCCGCGCCATATCAACCCGCGCTCTGTGCCTTTTCGGCGTGATCAACACTATGACCACTCGAGGCCGGTAGGTAAAGCCCTGCTACCTTCGCGCGCAGGATTACCCGGAGCGGCTGGAGGCGCTGCAGGGCGAGGACGTCGTCATTGGGTGTGACCTGGAGGCCAGCGAGCCGGCAGCGGAGCGCATCTGGCGCCGCGACGGCCGTCCCATCGACACGAACGACAGGTGAGTGATGATCCGCCATGTCCAGTTAGTGTCAAATGCATTGCCTGAGCACAACTGCAACTCTGAGCACAGCCAGTGAAATATTTATAATTTCGAAATAGCCTGCAAGGATTTTCTGGGGCACAAAGACCTCCGCCTGTTGTTCATCCCGTCAGCAGGAGCTATGGCGATCATCCGCGCCGAAAGGCAAGCGGCTTGTCGTCGCAGTTAGTCATCGCACTCGGTCAGTCCTTGTGTCCGCCGCGATTGGCTCTGTCTGAACTGGTGCGCCGCCTCCTCTGTGGACGGTGCGTATCCACTGCGATTGCCTGCGGGTGCACTCAGCGGCCGTCTCTGCCGTCCACGCAGGGTGCAGCTGCTGCCGAGCGGGGCCCTCCAGCTGCGAAACGTGACGTCCGAGGACGCCGCCAGCTACACGTGTCGCGCGCACAACGAGGCCGGAGAGGCGGTGCGGCGAGCGGCGCTGGATGTGCTCACGCCGCCCTCAGCCGCCGTCGAGGCGGATACGGGTCAGTGGGAGGGCACTTAAAGTCAGCGGAGGAACACTCCAGGTCATTGGAGATTAAACTGGACCTGAGCGCTTCAGTCAGCTCAGGAAAGGGCTCTCGGCGCCAAGGGGCTCCACGCCCACCGTCACGTCCACCGCCGCGGCACCGTCAGGACGAAAATGACACTTATTTCAGAAAGAGAACGACTGGCCAAGTTTAGTTTGCTAGGGGTCATGAATGTTTTGGCTAGTGATGACCATTTCAGGCTATGGAATGAAGGAGAGAAGTGAGGATGGAGCAGGACTGTAACCATGTGGAGTCCTCCGCTACAGGGACTTACCCGCACGGTGGCCCTTCTTCGGGTTATGTGCGGGCGCTAGAACGGTGCTCCCATCAGGGGAAAGGGCACGCCCACTCATGAATGCGGCACGCAGCTTACCTTGGGAAGATTTAGCGTAGCGAGTGTGGATGTAACTAGTGTGCCTCTAGCCTCGTGACAGGCTAGAGGCGCCAGGCTGTGAAGACTCCCGGGCAGAAGTCGTCCGTAGTCGCTGCTGGGCGCTGCAGTTCGGACATAAGCTCTCCGAGTGAACTGTCAGTGAAGGGTGCCGTTCTCCGTGGCAGCGGACGAGTGTAAGGGCCACGGGACACTCTGGTTGTGCCGAATGCGTTAGTCCATTGCAGGTCACGTCCAGTGCTGGGGATGAGCGCTCCGTTTTAAGTGACAATGCTGGCGCGTGAGCCGCAGTGGGCCCCGTACCGAAACGCCGATGCCTGGGTCACCCGTTGCACTCACACTGGCGGTGTTCAGTGGTGCGCCTTGCGTTTGCAGTGACGGTGCTGGAGGGTGACCCTCTGCGGTTGATGTGCGACGCCTCCGGTAACCCGGAGCCGGAGGTCAGCTGGTGGCGGACGGCGCCGGGACAGGAGTCTACCGCGACCCTCTCCGATCTGTGGACCTTCGCTCCCTACATGGCCTCAGACAACCACATCTACAAACAAAGGTAGGTGGTCAGATGGCGCACTGGACGGACCATTGGTACTGCGGTGCGGCGTATACCAGCTGATATCTATTGACGTCTTTCAGGGTGGGCTTTCGTGCTTTGGATGTCCAATGACAAATTGCAAGAAATGCCCCAAAACATGATGGCGTGTGGCTATCAGTACCTGGTGTCAGCGTTCAGATAAAGCGAAACTCGGAGGCAATCGTGACAAACCGAGCGTCAGTGTCATTTCCTGACAAATTTCATTTGGCATGTGTCACGTCTTCTCCCCCCAATGCATACACCACTGATGTTATTTGATATCTCGGCGTGCCCATGTCGCATCTCTTTGCCGTGACCCTCTGCCGCGCCCGCGGCCCCCGGTTAACTGCAGCTCACCCTACCCTTCCCGCTGCCGCAGCTCGGAGCTCGGTGACGCCGGCCTATTCCACTGCAAGGCCGTCAGCGAGGTGGGCCGCGCCTCCGTCGACGTGCGCGTCACGGTCGTTAGTCCGCCGGCCTTCGTCGACGCGTCGGTGCCGACGGAGCTCGTGGTGCGCGCCGGCGAGTCGACTCTGCTCGACTGCCGTAACACGGGCCAGCCACCGGCAAAGGTTCGTTGTCGCCGGGGACGGGGTCAGCAGCGGGTTAGGGCCTCCTGACCTTGGAGACGGATCACACAGTTGACGCCGCACGGGTCACGCAGTAGTGACTTGTCCGGCGACAGGGTCACCGTAGGGTGCTCGGGTTGGAAACGCTGACTTACATCGAGGGTCAGGGCCGAGGACCGATGTGTCTGGTCGCTGTTGTCGACTGGTGTCATGGGTTCAGGGTCAGAGATGGTTGTTCTGAAACTGAACAGTTTGTGGCGATTACATGATCGGCAGGTGCGCAATACGTGATTATGATGCTTTGAAAAACGTATTTGCGTACCGAATAGCCAGGCACCGATCTCCGAGGCGGGCAGTTCTCGCATGCGTTTGCTAACTGAGGTTTCCTGTCAGCAAACACGTTTGCACGTCTGTCCTTTGCTCCAGGTGATATGGTTGAGGGATGGTATGGAGTTGCCTGCGGTTGTGGGCGATCAAGAGCATACGCTGTCGCTGCCTTCGCTGGCTCCCACGGACGCCGGGGACTACACCTGCATTGCCGTAAATGAAGCCGGCAAACTGAAGCGGGAATTCTCGGTCAAAGTTTTGAGTAAGTTCTTGAGTGTTTGTAAGCATAGGAAACGCGGCTTCATATTACTTGAATGCTCACCATGTCTTAAGGCATTGCCAGGCTGTTTTAAGCCTGACAGAATGAGCATGTCTTTTATTTGGCGCCGGCCCGTTCCTGCTGCGCAGGTGTTCCCAGCGTCCGACGCAGCGAGAACACTGCGTTAGAAGCTGTGCGTGGATCGACACTAGAAATGTCCTGCTTTGTTGAAAGCATGGAGGAGTTTAACATCACCTGGTACAAGGTAATGATCATGTAGGTTGTGGAACTGCTACCGCACTGCTTATTTTTGGTGGAAAAGGATAGACCAAAAATGTTTGTCGCATTTTAATGATTTATACGTTTTCGTATTTTCCGATTATTTCAATTTATTGATATGTATATAAAGGGATTCTCCTACTCAGTCTCCTGTCCTGTCCGGTTTCCACGATGGCAATAAATCATCAGTATGGCATAAATATACCGATTTAAAAACTAACCAAGTGTTGCCTGTTTTCTTCCGAAAAGTTGTACAGCTAAAAATGCTAGCCCTACTTGAATCGAGTGAATGTCCAGTCCGCCAAATCGCCCTCCGCATTTTAACACCGAGATGGAGACTCTTCAAACGCTGCGTCGTTTGCGCGGCAGGACGGGTCTGCGTTCATCCCGTCCCTCTCCGACCTGTATCACCTCACGGACGGGGGTCAGACTCTGCACGTGCTGCGTGCGGACGAGGACCACGACGGCAACTACACCTGCCGCGCCGCTAACGAGGCCGGCACCGACTCCCAGACATTCACCGTCAATGTTCTGAGTAAGTCCAGTCGGCGGTTGCGCATCACTTTCATTATTAATTTTGTACGTAGGTCAAGCTCGCCGCTTGTTTCGCTCCTTTTATTGCATAGATCGACAAATGCATCTGTGGCACATGTTTTTGGTGAGCTTTCTCAAGTCTTTCGACGATTAAAGAACGCGACTACAGCTGAAAAGTGGTCAACCCCTCTTGAGGTCACTACCTTTGGTCTGTGACACGGCCCTGACCCGTGCCTGCACGCAGCCCCGGCGCGAGCGGACCCGAGCGCAGAGGCGGAGGCCGACCCGGACGGCACGTTCCTAGTGGAGGTCCCGAACGACTCGGAACTACAGCTCGAGTGTCACGCGTCCGGCAACCCGGAGCCGGCCCTGTTCTGGACCCGCGACGGAGAGGTCAGTGCCAGGCCCAGCAATATTCGTGGTACTCTGCTCTGGATCCGGGGCGAAGAGGTCGTTGTGAGCCCATCGAAGCCTTCTCTGAACTCAGAACGGAGATACGGTAAATTCTCACTTGACCCTGCTCTGGACCTGAAATGAAGAGTTCAGTGAAGGAGAGGCTGCACATTGTCCTGAGAGGATGTCATTGGGTCAACCGAGACTTCATCATGTGCAAGTCATGGCACTGTCTCTCCAGTCCAGAGTCCGCTCACCTGCTGCCGTAGTCAGCGTGTCCGACGCCGACTGCACGACGTTCAGTCCGAGCTCTGCCGTCTGTGGCTGACCCGGTGAGTTCTCGTCCTCCCCTCCCACCAGGCAGTGAAGAAGGTGGCGCACGCCGCCAGCGACTCCACCCTCCAGCTGGGCTTCGTCCAGCCGACCGACAGCGGCCAGTACCGCTGCGACGTCAGCAACGGCGTCGGCAACGACAGCATCGTCTACACGGTGCTCGTGTACTGTGAGTCGCGTCTGGGCACAGCGCAGGTTGTGGTATCTGCCTGGCGCGAGCTGGCATGGCGGTGAAGGTGCAAGGACGAGCAATTTAACTCCATAGATGCATTTCAAATCAAAATTCACTTTGGACTCAAGATATGTTGTTGCTTGGCTCATGTTGCCCTCCCCAGCTTGCTGAGATGCGGCTTCGGTGTGGTATCTTAGCTCACTGGTGAGCATAGCTGTCGTTTTACCTGGCCGATGACCGGAATGCGCCACGGGGCGAGCTATGACGTGAGCCGGTCTCCATCGCAGCGCTGCCGAAGCTGAGGCGGGAGCTCGAGTATTCTGTCAAGGCCCGTCTAAAGGCCAACGCCACCATGGTCTGCGATGTTGATGGCCACCCCGCCCCCCTGGTCACCTGGTACAAGGACGGGGAAAAGCTGGAGCCGGAAGTGGCCAAGGTCAGCAAAAAGACCATGAGTACAACGACAGCAAATTTATTTCGTTCACGAATGCAAGCATTGGGGGTTTCGTAGCACATCGGTGCAAAGGCGAATTCACTTAACACGGGGCACCTCTCTGCTTTTGTAAACGTGACGGTCGTTTGACTACCGCGGCGGACGTGGCCCGGTTGAAGTTTGGCTGTCGCTACCCCAGCTGCCACCCTGAGTGTTGCCACCATATCGAAGCGCAGCGTCGAACGTTCACATGCCTAGCACCCATATCATCTCTTAGGCTCCGTTCTCCCGCCGCGAGACGAGACGGCTGATCCAACGTCTTGTTATGCTTCTGGCACGGCTGCTGTGAGGACGGCGCCGGCGCCAACAGCATGCGGCATGATCGGCTTCATCATCGCCAGCATACGCTGTCGCTACTGTGTGATCAGCTAACAGCGGCATGATCGGCTTCAGATGACGATGGACGGAAACACGCTGACGGTGCGCGACGTGGAGCTATCGGACGCGGGCAATTACTCGTGTTTCGCAGTCAACTCGGCTGGTCTGCTCGTGGTGCCCTTCGGTCTGCAGATCTTCGGTGAGTTCTGGTTAATTCCTGTTAGCTTGCGCGGTGAGTAAGTGGTCACTCTTGGCCTCTCGTGGTCGAACACGGAGAGACGCATGTCCTTTTTCAGACTGATACTGATACTGTGATGGTTACGCTGGGCGTCTTGGAAACCAGAGGTACGGGTGTTCGATTCCCTGTGGTGTCCGTCTTCCCTGTCAGGGTGTAAGGTAAGCTACATCATGTATCCTCGGCAGCTAAGCACGCCGTAAAACCCCAATGACAATGACGATGGTAGTTGGATGTCAGGTCTTCAACGAATACCATGGACCGAGTTTCAGCCGCCCCTCACTCTCGACTGACGCGCCGCTGCAGCTGGGTGGCGGTCTGCTCCGAGTACTCTCACCTGCCCTGGTCCCACCAGCGGCGTCGGTGTTAATGACCTGTGCAGTTGCAATCGCCGATGCAGAACCCAGTACCTGTCACGATGATCGGCGTCGACCCGTGCCCTCCCCAGAGCCGCCGCGCGTCACGCTGGCCGAGCGGGCCGTGGCGACCGAGGGTCACGACCTGGTGCTGGAGTGCACGGTCACGGGTCAGCCGCCGCCGGGCATCACGTGGTACCGGCTCGGCCAGGAGGTGACGGCCGAGGGTCTGGTGCGCGCTCGCGGCGGCCGCCTGACCGTGCAGAGCTTCACGCACTTCGACCGCGGCGAGTACGAGTGCTTCGCCAAGAGCCCCGCCGGCACCGACAGGGCTGTCATCGACGTCGATTTCATCGGTGCGTGAGTAGTGACTGGCGGGGGGTGGGGGATGGGATGAGAGGGAGGGGTGTGAGGTGCACACTTCTTATCGGCTTGAAAGTCGCTGTTTGTTTTTTAGCTGATGTCAGATAAACTGACATCCGTGTCACATGCACTCCATTTGAACGCCTCACAATGACGCATCCTTTTAATGCATATCTGAGCTCTGTCTCCTGACGTCATTCGTGCCCATGCGGCTTGGAGTGTTGTCGGAGTTAGGAATTCCGTGGACTGGGCGACTAGTCAGCTGACGCGCTCTCCCCTGGCCAGAGGTGCCGAAACTCGAGATCTTCGGCGCCGCGGAGGAAATGATGGAGATTCCAGTGGGAGTCCCGATCCAGCTCGACTGTCCGGTTGACACGGATTTCTTGGGAGGTGAGCTCGGGGACACCGGGCAGCGTCTCTCGGCGCAGCGTTTCCGGGCGGCACCTCCGGGCCCACATCTGTCACTTGCAATACGACAACACTCGAAAGATGGGGCGGCTGGAACGGTGCAGCGAATCATATCTGATTGCAATATTTAATTCCGGAGTACCCGATGTGGTGGCCGCTGTAATCGGCTCCCTTCCCCAGAAAGCACCGTGGAACGGTCGCAGCATTCTAACGCTCCCACCCTAGAGTGCGCGGTATGATGACGACTGTTCCGGGCCTGACTCCGTGCCCAGTGCACGCAGCGGAGTGACAGCAGTTCTGCCCGCGGCTCTTGTTGGCAGAGTACGCGGTGGAGTGGCTGCACGGCTCGGAGCCCCTGCAGGGGGCCGCGTACGTGGTGGACGACCTGCAGCTGGAGCTGACGTACCCGGTGCCGAGCGACGCCGGCGACATCACCTGCGTTGTCGAAAACCAGGCCGGCTCCGTCCAGTACCTGTTCAAGCTCGACGTTGTCTGTGAGTGGTCCGGAGCAGTCCAGCGCGAGTGTCAGAGTGTGAGCGTGCCGCATGCACTTGTGCGTGCATAAAGAGACTGGTTCAGCGTGTGTAAGGCCTGCTAGGATCCACAAGAGCTTTGAGGGGATGGTGCGCCACGTTAGCCATGCGTTATACTGGCATTATCTGAACATCTTTCACTGAAGGAACGCTCGTTTCATGGCTTTTTAAGCAGCTTGATGCTATTTAATATATTACATTATGAAATAATTCTAGCTCTTTTATCTGACCTTATTTTCCGCTGTATGAACGGCCATTTTGTAGCCAATGATTTTCTGGGCTGTTGCGGCACATCCCTCTAACCTACAACGCGTGCCACCGCCGCTCCACGCTGTTCTCTTTTCAAATCAAATTTCTAGTCCTCTGTTCAACAAGTGCGTCACTCCGGCCTGGCCTGGGTTGTCGGCGGGAGCGGTGTGGCTTGCGCCGCCGTGCGGTCACCGGGCGGCCGGCACCGGCAGACCCTCCTCGGCTGACGGCCTCCGCGGACGAGCTGGCACGGCCCGTCCAGGTGGAGGAGGGCCTGCCCGTCTCTCTGCTCTGCCAGGTGGAGGGCAATCCGCCGCCCACCGTCGTCTGGTTCAACCAGTCGCGGCCGATCGTCGCTGAGACCGGCCGCATTAAGGTGAGATGGCCGTCGGCTGCTATGGGATCTGGTCAGTCACAGGCGACCCTGCTGAATACCATTCAGATTGGTACAAAAGATGCATGGCTGCTGACTTTCCTCTGCGGAGGGTAGTCATTCACGTTCGTTTTTGGTTGAGACCATTTTATTAAGGCTCGTACACATCAGGTGGAGCGTTGGCTACTATTTGTGGATTCTATCAACGTTCATAAAGAACACGGCAGCCCATCGCAGCATTGTGCGACGCGTAAAACCCTCTGCATTTTTGTTTGACGAAAGGACAGAAGCGAGGTTATCCTTTGACCTGGACGACACAGCTTGAGTAGTGGCTTCAGGGTATACTCAGCATGCTATGTTCATCCGTTGCCCAAAACCGAAACCCACTAATCAAAACCATTCAAACAATTGTATTTCCCAAAAAAGAAACGTCCACGAAATCTAACGACCACAGCTGCAATACAATTGCAGGCATGTTATCCAGCTCGGTCAACATCAACACGAAGCCATGTATGGGGCCGCGCTGTCGCTGCCGGGCCGCCCAGCCACGGCGTTCCGCTGTGACCCCCCCATACCGCCGCTGCCCGCCAGTTCCCGTCCGCCCGCGAGCTTCTGTTGGAAGAGGTGCGCCGCTCGGACGCCGAGCAGCTCTCCTGCCTGGCCAGGAACGCGCTCGGCAACGCCACTCAGGCGTTCTCGCTGGACGTGCTCACGTGGCCGGCCGTGGCCGTGCCCGCCCAGGTGGAGGTGCAGGCGGGCGAGCAGGCGCGCCTACCCTGCGCCATCGACGGTAACCCCCAGCCCACGTGAGTGACGCGGCGGTGACGTGAGCCTGTGCACCTGCCGGTGGTGCTAGACGGTGGCGTAACCGTGTAAGGCGGCAGGTGCTGGTCCAATGAACTCTGAAGGCATCGCGTGCCGTATAGGTGCGTCGATGCCCGTCTGTGCTGATGCTCAGCGGGCTCGAGCGTCTACTTCGACTGACTCGACGGCAGGATTTTAATGCAATTACTGCTAACGCCGAAGTTTATGCATAAGAAGTCTTCGCATCATAAATTATGTCGTGAAGAAGTCGTGTCATGCAATTCAGGCGTCCGCAGTATTTGTGTTAGAAGCATTGTCAGCACCCGGCTTCGACTCCACCCATTCGCCCCGCCGTGCGCGGGTGCAGTGCGGGACAGTATGCCTCGCAGGTAGAGGTGATCGAAGAGTGTGGACGTGAGACAGCTCGCGATGCTTCGATTTACAACGTCCCACAGCGCTGTTTCCGTCTGATGCCGCACGACAAAACAACAGACGCGTGCATCGGCAGGCACGAATCATACGGCACGCCTCATCCGCAGTAAAACGTGCGCATGACAGAGCTTGATTGCTTTCTTAAGCCACCAAAGCCTGTATCCTAAACATTTGGCAGAACGATTTACAGTGGGCGGGTCACGCTGAATGGGGCTAGGCTTACCTCGCACAGTGCGTGGCTTCGAGCCTGAGTGTATATCCTAGCGTGTATGCGATCGTGTCCGCAGTCGCGTCTGGTACACGGGCGACGACGCGATCGCGCTGCCTCCTGGTGCCATATCCGGTAACTACGCCCACGTGGCCGACACCGGCGAGCTGCTGGTGGCCGCCGCCTCGCTGGATGACCTCGGCGTGTACACCTGCGTCGCCTCGAGCTTCGTTGGCTCGGCCCGGGGACGGTCGGCTCTCAAAGTCCTCGGTGAGAGGAATCGGCTTCCACTGAAGGGTCGCATGAACGGTTCCTTATCAGCGTTTTTGTACCTGTGGGACCAGTGTATCACCATTCATAGGTTCTGGTCGGGGCGGATCCAGAGGGGGGAGGGGGCACGGGGTCATGACCCCCTTGGGGCCCGAAGGGACCCATTGGCTCCGAAGGGGCCCGTCGCCGGCCGAACAGGTGCAGTTTTTTAGACACAAAACGCAACAAAACTGGATATCTCTGGACTTCCAGACGACCAAGAACAGCTGTAAGCGAAAGTAAAGGGCTTATGAGAAGTCAAAAAACCAATTGTTATAAAAGTTGTGAACTGGAAATTTCAAGCCTCATTGCACTGTCTACGGGCCCCATGCTGTTTCCGGGGACCTATATGCCCACTTGCAGAATCATTTCGATCGTTAGGGAGCACTCCACGTTGCCCCTGATTTCCTTGCATTTGCTCGGAGGGCCCTGCGCTGTTGTTGGCAACCTTCCTGCTCGCGTGCCGGGGCACTCTTGTCAATCACGAGCCCTTCCACATGTACTTTCCATTCGCCAGAAAGGCTCTGTGGGGTTAAGCCGGGGTCCCATATCTTGAGCTGCCGGGGCATTCTCGGTTGCTCAGCGGCCCTTTACGTGGGTCTCATTTAGCCTACCGACACACTTGCCATATGTTCACGGGCCCTATCCATTGGTCTAGAGCGCTTCCAATTCTCTGTCGCTTGCTTAGAGCCCTGCACTCTTGTCGGGGACCATCTGATGGCCTGCTCGTTCATACCAGTCGCTCGGGGATCCTTCATACTGGGTCTTGGGTGCTTCTTTTCTTAGTGGGAGCCCTACGCTTTTGGGGGAGGCTACCTGATGATCTGGTCGGGCACCTTCAATCGTCCGGGGGCCCTCTTCATTGGACCTTCGGCACGTGCTATTTGAATGGGGCTCTGCACACTTGGGGGGCTCCTCTGTCCGCCTCCTCGGCCACACTGGATTGCTCGGGGGGGGGGGGGGCTGCACATCGGTTCTTAGTGTTTAAATTTAGGGCCCTCTGTTCCTATCGGGGTCATCTGATAACCTGTTTGGGCACACTCCATCTTTCGGGGGCCCTCCGCAGCGGGTTTTAAGTACTTCCTACTTAAATGGAGGGCCTTATGCTCATGTCGGGTCCCCTTCTGTTATAAGATGCTGGGGCCCATTCGATCGTAGGGGACCTCTACATGTGGTTTTAGGCACTTCCTTTTTTAGTGGAGATCCCTCCGCGCTTTTCGGGGGCCTTATCTATCAACCTGCTCTGGCGCACTCGATTATTCGGGGCCCTCTACATCGTGTCGTGGGTATTTCACATTTGAACGGAAGGCCGAACGTACGTTCTTGAACGTATAAGAACGTACGCTCTTACCGGAGCCCCACTTGTTAACCTACTCGGGTACACTCGCATACCCTTCCCCCCCCCCCCCCACATAGCGTCTTGGGCACTTTCTATCTGAATGGATGGCGCTACGTATTTGTCGGGGACCCCATCTGTTCGCCGCTTCGGCCACACTGAATTGTCCGGGGGCCGTGCACATAGGGTCTTGATGTTTGAATTTAGGGCCCTACACTCCTGTCTGGGCCACCTGATAATCTGGTCGGGTATACTCCATCTTTCGGAACCCTCCGCACTGCGTTTTGGGGACTTCTTATTTGAATGGAGGGCCCTACGTTCTTCTCGAGTCCCTTCTGATAAGCTGCTCGGGCAAATTCTATCATTTTGTCGTGAGTATTCTTTTTTTGAATGGATGATTCTATGTTCTTGGCGAACCGCATCTATTGAGCTGCTCGGGCCGGTGGCGGATGCAGAGGGGGGTGGGGGGGGGGGGGGGAGACACGGGACCATGCTCTATGGACCATGCCGAGGGAACCTAAAGGCTCCGAAGGGGCCCATAACCGTCCGTCTGGACGCAGCTTTCTTACAACAAAACTGGATGCCCTTGGGCCTACAGACGACCAAAAACAATTGTTAGCAAAAGTAAAGAGTTCATAAGCAGACCAAGTTCGTTTTTTGCTCATTGAGAAAGTGTTGCTTGGGGGGAATTTCTGGTGCTCATTACGCTGTCTAGAGCGATTGCGCTGTTGGTTTCCTGGCCCTATATGTCCACTTGCCGGGTCCATCTGATCGCTAAGGAGCTTTCCATGTTGCCAGTGATTTCTCTGTATTTTCTCGTAGGGCCCAATATGCTGTTGGGACGCTATTTGCCTCCATGCCTGAGCATTGTTGATCGATCAGGTTTTCCTCCGCGGATTCTCCCCATTTGCCCGAAAGGCTCTTTACGCCTTTTCCGGGGCCCCATATGCCAGGGCGCACTCAGTTGTTCAGGGGCCCTTCATTTAAGTCTCGGGCTCTCCCTACTTGTTTGAAGGGCCTTGTGCTGTTGCTAGGACTTTTATAAGGTAAGGCACGGAGACACTCGATGCTCAGGGGCCATCTACTTTGATCGAGGGCTCTCTCCCTTTGGTCTCAGTTGCGGAGGACTCTTCACTCCTATCGAGGCTCGTGTTGTCGAACCGCCTGCACACTCTTGATCGCATAGTGGTATTAATTTGTGGTCTTGGATAATTCCCCTCTGCTCGGAGGGTCCTGTGCTCTGGCCGGGGCCTTATATGTCAGCCTGACGAGGCACTACCGATCGTTTGGGGGCCCACCACGCTGGTCTTGGGTTCTTTTTGCTTGCACTGCGGACCCTATACTTGTTGACGGGAGCCACTTTGTTGGCCTCCTGCGGCACCCATGATCACTCAGGTTCCGTCCCTATTGGCCTTGGCGCCTTCGCCTTAGGCAGTAGCCGAATATGCACCAATGAATTTTTACGTGCAATTGCCAAACGTAATCTTACGTTGTATGTGTCATTTGCATTAGCTATTGAGTGTGTGACACTTATTATACCAGTGCATCACATTCTTAACATATTTAGGATGCTAAAATATGCTGTACTCCTTTATAACAGAGGAAAAATTCCGTACTAGTCATCAGACATCAACTGATTACATCGCCCAGCCGGCTAGCCCTAAAAACCATAAACTAGGGACCAAGCCTATACTTGGTTTTGATGGTTGTTAGCAGCTAGCTTAGGTTTTTTTGCCCGTTGTTCCGAAGCACTTAGCCTTAGAATCACAGCACTGAACATGGTCTGTAGAAAGTGAGTGAATTCTATGTGTATGCATGCGTAGCACGCCTAGCTTTATAAGGCCGTGCACATTAAGATGGGTTTCCGTACTTCTTAAATAAATGAATAAGTTAATACATATATACGTACCTATATATATATATATATATATATATATATATATATATATATATATATATATATATGTGTGTGTGTGTGTGTGTGTGTGTGTGTGTGTGTGTGTGTGTGCGTGTGTGTGTGTGCGTGTGTGTGTGTGTGTGTGTGTGTGTGTGTGTGTGTGTGTGTGTGTGTGTGTGTGTGTGTGTGTGTGTGTGTGTGTGTGTGTGTGTGTGTGTGTGTGTGTGTGTGTGTGTGTGTGTGTGTGTGTGTGTGTGTGTGTGTGTGTGTGTGTGTGTGTGTTATGTGACTTGTCTTAAAATGCAATGACCGAAATGCAAGAACATTTTTTGGAGGAGGGCCCAAAGTCCAGGGAACCCCACAATGTTGCGTGCCCCCCCCCCCCCTGATGAAACCCTGGATCCGCCCTTGGCTTCCGGCGACGATTGATTTGGTGGGACTAATGCTGAGCGTAGCTCTTCTTGCTTCAGATTCTTGCTAAGAGCGAACGTCCATTTTCCGATGCGGAGCCGGGTGCGATTAAGCCTCGCTTAAGCTTTTGAGGCAATCCACTGCACACTTCAAGGAAGCGAATTAGCGCTTTCTCTGCATGTCAGAAACCTGTTATGCTGCGGCGTCATATGCAAACCAAGGTCCGAAACCAGGCGAACTTCTGCTAAGACGTAGCCCATCATTGCGCGCGCGCTTCTCATCATCCCGTCTCCCGATTGCAGTGGCCCCGTTCATAGAGGGAGCCTCGGAGGAGCCCGAGGACGTGCTGGCCCGGGAGGGTAGCTCTGTGACCTTCCGCTGCCCTGTGTCCGGCCACCCGCCGCCCACCATCACCTGGTACAAGGTCGGTGACGAGGTCTCGGGAGAGGGTGGACTCAATGACCAAGCACTGTGGCTGGCTTATTAGGGCTCTTCACACAAAGTCTGATGGCTTGTGCAATTCTGTTAGCCTCCAGGTCCGATTCCCTAGATTTGACTCCTGCACTAAATCTCCACCGTTCCCATGTGACTTACACGCGCACACTTAGGCACGCGCAACTAAAACTTGTACGTATGCATGTACACACGCAATATCAAAGGCGCGTGCGCAACTGCGCACGCTGTCCCGCACACGCGCACACACTAATGTCGGCGGCGCTTCACCCCACCGCCGCGCCGCCCTGCCGCACACGCGCACACGCTGGTGCCGGCGACGCCTCGCCCCACTGTTGCGCGGCCCTGCTGCACACGCGCACACGCTGGTACCGGCTGCGCCTCGCCCCACCGCTGCGCCGCCCTGCCGCACACGCGCACACGCTGGTACCGGCGGCGCCTCGCCCCACCGCTGCGCCCCCCTGCCGCAGGACGAGGACGTGCTCCGGGAGCCGGACACGCTCGCCGACGGCGGCCAGGCGCTGACGCTGCGTCGTCTGACGGCCGCCGCCGCCGGGCAGTACGTCTGCGTGGCGGCCAGCCGGGCCGGCACGGCGCGCAAGCTCTTCAGTCTGCGGGTGAACGGTGCGCGCGGGCGGGCGGGGGGTGCGGTGCTGCTGGTCGGTGGTGGGCACGGCTGGGGGACAGCGTCCATCCGTGCTCCGGCGCTGGGTGTCAAGATGATTGGAGAAGGTCGTGGTGCAAGGTTATTGGTGTAGACAGAGGCGTTGCAACCATTGTGTTTGAGTATGGAGGTTAATGATCAAGCTTCAAACCATTGGATTCCAAGCATTCTGGTCGGAACTCCGCAAGCACTGAACTGCTCTACTTTTCAGTGAATTATTCTTTATAAGAGACTCGATGTGAAGGTGTTCGGGCACCGGGTAGAAAGGTGCCTGAGCTTCTTTTGTAGCCTAAAAACGCCGCTTCCACGGCTGGCAACCCGAAGCTGCACGTGCACCGTTCGACCGCGCCGTTTCAGAGGCGCCGCAGACGCAGACGGCCACTGAGGACGTGGACGTGGACGTGGACGCGTCAGTGACGTTGACCTGCCCGTCGGCCGGTCCGTTGGTGTTCAGCACGGTGTGGCTGCGACACGGCCGGCCGGCCGGCCGCCGCCCCCAGCTAGTCCTCGGCAAAGTGCAGGTGCGGCACCTAGCGGCGGGCTCAGAGACCAGCGGCATGTGCAGGATGCAGTAGAAGCAGCGTAAATTATGCGTCATTGATAGTGTCATGGTCATATGAGGGTCGTTGTCAACCGAACCTGACGATCGATGCATTTGCGTTTGGTCGAAACGTAACTGGAGAAGATTGAAAGTGTGGTCATAAATGTAGATAGAAACCGGTACAAGCATTGGATTTGAGTTTATATTATGGGATACCTTTTTCGGACGTGCGGACGGAACTATGTGAAACCGTGCGCGTATGTGTGGTGCGCCGATACGAGCAGTAATGAGCATGTTTGATACAGAAATGAGTAGTTTGATACAGCTTACCTACTCAAGCAACACTGCTTAACTAACGCTGTTGGCGGTTGTTCCGGGTGATTGCGATATTGGCCCAATGCTGACCAGTTCTCAACATTCATCGATACAGGTGGTGATAAGATGAGCCGCAGACTGAATATGAAATGTCAGAAAGTCGTTCATCATTACTCATGTTAGTAAACGTTATCTGTGTTTGTTAGTTTACTCCTCAAAACTCTTTTGAAATGGCAACCTAGTCTCGTTTTTCCGTAGAAAAAGGATGGTGGGAAGTACCAGTGTGTATCTTCGAGCATGGCCCGTTCCCGAGTGACCAAATATAACGTCAGAGTTAAGGGTAAGTATCCCAGACTACCATCGGACAACGTTAACAATTAATTAGTAGGCACGTTGCTTGACTTAAAGAGTGGACATGACATTTTGTGTGCTGGATTTTTACGGGCAGGCGAGATTCGAGTAACTGCACACTTGCGCGGAACGTGAGAAATGTCGTATCGTATGAACTTTATGACCATGTCCGTAAGTTCACTTGGCTTGTGCTCTGATATGATGCAGTTAGATGAATCCGTCTGATTATTTTGATAGGGTGTGACAGGATTCTAAGACACATGACGACTGTCCCATGTCTCGTGAAGCTTCCAACACAGTCCTCCAGCCGGGTGGGGAGCGTAACTGACTCATCATTCTGTGCTAGCCCTCGCCGAATGATGTTGCCATCACCACCGTTGGCGGAACAGTCCGTACTGGCCCTCGCCACCCCCAGTACCGTCGCCACTGCTGACCCGTCAGTCGATGATGACCTTCACCGTGCCCCGTGTAGCTGTCACCACTGACCTGTCAGTCGGTGCTGACCTTCACCGTGCCCGTGTAACTGTCACCGCTGACCTGTCAGTCGGTGCTGACCTTCCCCGTGCCCGTGTGGCTGTCACCGCTGACCTGTCAGTCGATGCTGACCTTCGCCTCCCCCAGCGCCGCCGCGGCTGATCGCGGACGCTCCGCCGGCCTCGGCGGTGCGGCCCCGGCTGGGCTACCCGCTGCGGCTGACCTGTCCAATCGAGGGCGTCGCTCAGGTGCGCTGGCTGCGCGACGGCCAACTCCTCTCGGACCCCTTCCGGATCGTGTCCACCATGAACGGCCGTCTGCTCTTCCTGCTCAGGTGACGTCACAGGTGGACAGCTGCACGGAATGCGTGGTCTGGCGAGGCGTCAGGGGCGCGCATCCATCCGCCCATTAGATTGGACGGAGGTCTTGTCTGTCCGTGGAACACTGGGGGCCCGCTTACCATGGAGAGACTCTGCACTGCCCGGCACTGTACGGTGTTTGCAACGCTGCCAGTGCTCTGGTGAGGCCCGCTCTGACCCTGTGCAGTGTGCCGGGGGCCTGGCCTGAGACCGGTCCTGTCTGGCGTGCAGCGTGACAGAGGCTGACTCAGGCCAGTACTCGTGCGAGGCTCGCAACAGCGCCGGCCGCGCCAGCCACCAGTTCGACGTGCAGGTCGTGGTGCCGCCCTACTTCGAGACGCCCGGGCCGGATCGGGTCAAGGCCAAGGTCGGCGATGAGCTGACCTTGACCTGTGACGTCATCGGTCAGCCACAGCCCAACATTACCTGGTTCAAGGTAGGCGGACTGAGACCGAATGATTTGTGATGGGTCAGTCTCAGTTCATCCAGTATCAGATCAGTTTCAGCCCAATCTACGTGACGGGCCAGTGTCAGTCCATCCAGCCTTAGTCCAGTCTGAGTCCAGTCCATGTGTCGGATCAGTTCAGTCTATCCAGTTTCAGCCCAATATCAGTCCAATTCGTGTGGCAGTCCAGTCTCAATCCATCCAATATCAGCCCAGTCCCAGTCCAGTCCATGTGATGGGACAGTCAGTCCGCCCAATGCCAGTCCAGTCTCAATCCAGTCCATGTGACGAGTCACGTCCGGCAGTCCCCACATCGGGAGCCGTACTTATCAGGTCAATTAGCAAGTGTTATGATATTGCAGCAGGTTTAGTTATCACCAGGGGCAAAGTTTTGCCATATGAGCCGAGGGAAGGAGCCGAGCGATGGAAGATGACGCAGTCTACCAGCAAAATAGCCAACAAACGATTCTTTCCCAGAGTTTGGTCAGCTTTTTCCTCAAAGTTGGAGGGAGAAGAGTTGGAGCCTAATTTGGGGGTTGGGGTGGAGCCCTCCCTTCCCACGCTCAATCTGAAACTATACCCCTGTTTACTTCCCGTTTGCCACAAATTAAAATCAGATTTTCCAACAAGCTAAAGTCAGGCTCCGAGGCACATATCTTTGCACTTTGCGACAGTGCAGCACAGGACATCGAACATCATGTTTTGAAATTGAACCGTCTTGTGAAGGACGCGCAATACTTTTACTGTTTCATATAAGTGTGGGGGCGATGTACTCCGACCATCTTGGTGATGCCGTGTCATTTAAACTGAATTGGTACGCTGTTCCAGGATTCCTCCGTGATTTCTCGAAAGCACAAGTTAGATATCAGCCCAGTAGATGTCAGCGCAGACGGCTTATACACATGCGAGGCGGCAAACGAGGCGGGCAGGGCAGAGCACAACGTGGTCGTGGATGTCATCGGTAGGAAACGGCCTTCAAGTGCCATCTGGTTGCCTTTTCGATACTGCGCTTGTTTTGACGGGGTGCCTTACATTGCATGCATGAGGTGTTGTCGTTTTCAACAAAGGCGTTTTTTTTTATTTTCCATTAAAACTTGCGACATCTGATAACCATAAGTGCGTCATCGTCCGGTGTGCATTGGTGTCGTTCTACCAGCAGATGGTTATGAGCTTATTAAGCAGACTGCTCTGAGGTGCGGCGTAGAGGCCAGCGGCTGGTGGCCGATATACCAAGTGTCTTTCCGTCTCGACAGAGGCGCCTTCCATTGAAGGAAAACCGGCAGAGACGGTCCGGGTGCCTCTCGGAGGTAGCACCCTTCTGCCGTGCTCCACAAAAACCCTCCTGCCGTCGGTACGTCACAGCAGCAGCAGTGGCACGATTCGCGCTGCTTTCCAGCATGCTGCCACTCTGGTCAAGAGACACAGTCATGGGGGGTCTGCACGGAACAAACTGAAGAGAATACACGCTCGAAAACTTCAATAACTTCGCCTGTGTTACGAGATCACACGATTAACCACATAAGAACCTCGCCTGTGTTACCAGATCATAGGTTAGCCACATGATGGCCTCGCTTGTGTCATGAATCACACCGTTAGCCACATGACTCGCCTGCGTACGATATCACACGGTTATTTACCTAGTAATCTCGCCTGCGCCACGAGATCACACGGCTCGCCGTGTTATGAGATCAAAGATTAGCCACATAAAAGCCGCGCTTTCGTAAGGTAAGTCGCTACCCATCTGCGCTGTCTCGGCTCCGCTGAGCGGCCAGTGCTGTCCGGTAGATCAGCTGGCTCAAGTCTGGCGAGCCGGTCAGCCTGGCTTCGCCGCGCCTGCGCCTGACGCCTGAGGGACTCCAGCTGACGCGGGCCCTCACCGCGGACCGCGGCAAGTACCGCTGCGTCGTCGAGAACGAGGCCGGACGTGCCGAGCGCTTCGTCCGACTGGTCGTGTCCGGTGAGTGTCGACTGGTCGTGTCCGGTGAGTGTCGACTGGTCGTGTCCGGTGAGTGTTGACTGGTCGTGTCCGGTGAGTGTCGACTGGTCGCGTCCAGTGAGTGCGACTGCCCGTGTCCGGTGAGTGCGACTGGTCTTGTCCGGTGAGTGTCGACTGGTCGTGTCCGGTGAGTGTTGACTGGTCGTGTCCAGTGAGTGCGACTGGTCGTGTCCAGTGAGTGCGACTGTCCGTGTCCGATGAGTGCGACTGGTCGCGTCCGATGAGTGCGACTGGTCGTGTCCGGTGAGTGTTGCGTGCTGTCCGCCGGGTTAAGTGCCGCCCGACTATGTCCGTCTGCGCTAGCAAATCGCTGATAGATAAAACTTATGCTGGCTCACTGCTGTAGCGCTCTGGACGCAAAGGGTAACGCACAGATGTCATTCAGTGACGTGTTCAGTCACTCTCCGTTGCATATGCGTAAGCACCTGTTAAACTCTGAACAAGACAAATTCGCCGATTTCTCTCCTTTTGTAATTGAATGCAGATGGTATCTGACACACCTTTACGTGCATACTGTACCTTGAAGGTGCCAGTGCTCTTTAGATCCAGTAATACTAATTCAACCGCCCAAAGTGCACTGACGTGGTGTCCACCTCCACCAGCTCCAGTCCAGAGGGAGGAGAAGT